TAACCCCGGTAGTCAAATCATTTTCACAGCACAGCTTGGTATTGAGTACTTAAAGGGGTACTTACTGCATGAGGAGGCGATATAATTGGCAGGTTGTGCACGGTTCGCCGTCAGCGCCGCACACGTCGATGCGTTTACCCAAACCAAAACCATACGGCCCGCCACTTTCCCCGTTCCTGGCCAACTAGTTTCCAACATGCAACGCTCGCGCGGTGTTGCCAATGTTGCATGCAGCGATTTAGAAAAAAAAAAAAAATTGCCATACATTTTGTTTTTATTAATACCGTGTGAGCGCCGATCAACCGCTAGGTCAGTACCTTATAGCAGTATGAAGCGGCGAAATTAACGAGGATATGCGCGTGGGCAGTACGAGCGTCGCCTGCGTCATGCTTGGTATTTATTTGAGGGAAAGGCCTATGCTTCGTTTTTAGTTCCGAGTGCGGCCGGTGTTATAAGCCGAAGGGCCAATCAAAAAAAGCGCAAAAAGCGCAAGTTCATGGTGTGTCCTCTGCAGTTGATAGGCCCAGCCGGTGTTCGCTGTCTTTCTGTGCGTGATCCTCCTCCGGATCGTCCTATCGAGGACAGAGGGCAAGTCTGTTGCGCTTCTTGCGCTGCTTGATCGGTGTAGCAAACGATGAACGCGGTGATTTTTGTTGTTTTACTTGCCTTCTTGCTGCCTCTCGCCTTACAGCATAACCCACACACATTTCACGTTGTTCCGCAGTCTCTTGAGCACGTCAAAGTGGGATGTATGGCTGTCCACCATAGTAATCGAAAGGACAAAAAGCGAAGGCCGTCTCTTTTCGTTACTTCTTCTCCAGCACGTGCTCGTTGCCATGAGTCGTGCTTTTTGTCTTCGAGTACACGCTCAAACTACTATGAAATTTAGATAGTCACCGATAAGCCTCAAAATTGGTTCAACAGATTAATGGGCACATTTGAACTACTAGCCCAAAATATAAACCAGATATTTTTTTTTTTTTTTTGCAGGGCTATTGAATTTTTTGGTAAGGTCTGAAAGATTGATACATTTCTTAATTCCTTGTTACGCGGGCACCCGTGACCCCCAGTTAAGTCACCCTCAACTGCAGAAACGCTCCTCCACAGTTACCACACTATACGCCCTGACGGCGATTCCAGAAGCGAAGAATGCGCGTTCATGGCTTTGACGGTCGCTCAAGGTGCACAAGCGTACTATCGGAAACAATATGAGCGTGAACCTGCCTCCGCGTGTCGCCGCTACCTGAGGCGCCGCCCTGCGGCGCCGTTGTGAAGTTTTGCGCATGCGTGTAGAAATCCTGTCGCTGTTTTCGCTTTGACTGTTAACCCCCGTCTGTCGTCTGCTATGCGCGCGCCGGCGGCCGTTCGCGCTGTCGCCTGCTATGCGACTCGTGTATTTCCGTCACAACTCAGACAAACCACTTGACAGGATTCACTAGTTTGCTGTGCGATAACGCAATGCCCACATTTGATACGTGATAAGTAGCTGGCTTCTTTCATTGGATCGAGATACAGCGACAACAAACAAATGGAATAAAGACAAAATGTCTGCAAAGCTTAGCGTTCAACGACGGTGAGATCCCCACAACCCCCCCCCCCCCCCCCCCCCCCCCCATTTACGGTGAGCCCGGAAAACATTCAGTTGAGTCAAAAGTGGCCAGAGTTACTGACGACGAACAGATCAACATAGTTGAGCTGTCCCTCCGAGGCTACTTTCAGAGGGCTATATCCAGCATGGCTGGAAGACCGTTAAAAACGGTGAACCGGATAATACAAGCATATAGGGACGAGCTGTCCAGGGCAAACACAACTCGCGTAGAAAGCGCGTGTGTCCGCCGGAGCACGCAATGTTGTGCGGCAGACGACAGCACGAGCGGACGCCAGCGCAAACACGAGTCGCATAGGAGACGACAGCGTGAGCGGCCGCCAGCGCGCACAGGACTCGCATAGCAGACGACAGACGGGGTTGACAGTCAAAGCGAGAAGAGCGACAGGATTTCTACACGCATGCGCAAAACTTCACAACGGCACCGCAGGGCGGCGCCTCAGGTAGCGGCGACACGCGGAGGCGCGTTCACGCTCATATTGTTTCCGATAGTACGTGCGTGCGCCCATAGCTTTTACTGCATAGCCCCAGAAAGTTGTCCAAACGTAGTGTGTGGTAACTGCGGGTTAGCGCAACTGCAGTTAAGCGTTCCCGTGTAAAAACGGTATTGCATGGGCACACTTAACTGCAGTCACGCTATGCCACAGTTACCAGACTATATTTAAGGACAGCGTTCTGTGCCACGGTTGCCACACCATATATAGTACAGGGTGATTCAAGGAGACGCCAGGCTCTTTAAATCAACCGCAAAATTCGATTTCTTAACCTATCGCGCTCGAACTTTGTGCAGCGTTGCCCACACATGGTGCATTCTTTTTTTTTTTTGTGAAGTTTGCAAAGAGCAAACTTACCTGAGGAAAAAGTAAAGAAAAAAAAGGCTTGGCTCTTATGGAAACGCAGCGACGTCACCGGTCTTCAAACCACACGGCGCCGTTTGGCACGGGAGACAAGAGATGGCGCAACGAAAGCCGCCAACGAACGAGCATACGGCGCCGAGAGCCGGCGTCCTTAGCAGACAACCTTTCTACTCAAAAGCGGCGCGCGTTCCGCAGGCGGCGACAGTCGCAGAAACAAAAGCAGGTGCGGTAACAACAAGGAACTGCAGTTCCTTGTCTGCTAAAGACGCCGGGTCTCGGCGTAGTATGCTCGTTCGTTGGTGGCAGCTGGAGCCGCGACCGCTTACGCCATCTCTTGTATCCCGTGCGAAACGGCGCCGTGTGGTTTGAAGACCGGTGGTTTCGCTGCGTTTCCATAGGAGGTAAGCATTTTTCTTTCTTTACTTTTTCCTCAGGTAAGTTCGCTCTTTGCGAATTTCATAAACAAAAAAAAAGGCACCATCTGTGGGCAACGCTGCACAAAGTCGTAGCGCGATAGGTTAAGAAACTCAATTTTGCGGTCGATTTAAGGAGCCTGGCGTTTCCTTGAATCTCCCTGTATATATAGATGCTTTGCACCCGCGACAGGTTACAGCGGCCATTGCTGACCTTCTCTTGGCTTGCCCAGATGCCAAGTCAGTGAAGCGGGCGTTGACGAGCCTTCACGAATGCCAATAGTGGAGAGGACACCGTATAATGTAAAATGTCAATGACCTACCATGTTGTGGTCATGGACAAGTGAACGTAATAAGAGGAAACAAAATTGAAGGTCGGTTATGGCGGCGCCCATCCGCAGCTGCTCCAAAGCGTCTATATGTATACATATACTTGCGGACAACGTCCTGTGGCTATGTGCAGTCAAAGCTATGGGCGCACGTGCGCTTGCGCACCTTGAGCGCCGATCAAAGTTGTGCACGCACACTTCTCACCACTTCTAAGAATGCTGTCCGAGACTATAGAGTGCTAGCTGCGGTTTAGCGTAACTGCAGTTAAAGGCAACTTAACTGAGGTTAAGGGTACCCGTGAAACGAGGGTATGAGAGGCTCTACTGGCAAAACCAAAAACTTGACGACAAATGTTGTAATATAAGAGCAGTACGGCTTATACTCGGCGGGTTACAAAAAGATTTATCATGTGAAATTAAATCTAGGGAAGCTCTAGGAAGAAATGAAACAAGCCAACAAACAAAACGCGCCATATATATATATATATATATCTATATTTGGACTGCTTCCCCGATTTGCGAGCTCTACAACACGTGACGTCCCCCCACTTGAGAGAGGTAGAACATTTTGATGTTGGTTTGGGCATAACCTTCATTTGCCGTTTGCTCAAAAGCTTTTTCTTTTTTATTTCGAAATAAAACAATTACGGAAATAATAAACCCTGAGTATTCTGAAGTTGGGCTGAGTTTGGATAACTCGAAAAACAGCTTGAGCTCTAGCTGGTTCACACACTTGTTTGACTAGGACCGACTGCGCTACAACTGGCTTGTGAATGCCGCGTGTGGATGCTTAGGACTGCCGCTTGTACCTAGATTGTGACAGTCGCTTGCGACTGCTTAAGAGCGGCTGCGCAGCAACGCCTCCGGTCGTAAGCAGTCACAAGAACCTTAAAACAGATTTTTAAGCGCCTCCGCCTTCAAGGAGTCACAAGTGTACGCGTGAGCCAGCTTTAAAGAACACTCGGCCCGGAGGTGTTCACGAGGCGCGGAGCAAGCGGGTGATTATCTAGTCGGGTGTAGTAAGCGGAAGTGACGTTAAAATAGAAGTCACTCATGCGCGTGCGCAGACGCCACAATGTGAATGAAAGCATATAATGTAAAATATTGTATTTCAACATCTATTACAACAAAAAAAAGTTATAGTAAGATCCTAATTGTAGAGGACGGCGTTTTACAAATAACTTAACAAAGCGTAAGGGAGACTTCGCAGAGCCCGCATTGCCAGAGACAAATAAATATGGAAGCGCTTGTACATGTGAGCTCTTCATCCAGCGACCTGTTGATGTCGTTTTAGCGGCAACTCTGATCTCTAATTACTTTTTTTTATTTTATGTGTGTTCTGCAGTAGGAAGTAGCATGCAAAGTAATAGAAGAAACTAACCAATTCACCCCTCTTCACCCTACTTGTACCCCTGCGGACGATATAAGCTGCAACACCCGATTTGGCCGTTTTCTGTTTTTGGGGTTCCCACAAGTAAGATCGTCTTCCGATATGTCAAGAAGTTAAGATAACGGGCCCTTAACATCGCATTCCATTAAAAGTTTGGACCAAAGCATTTATAAAAACCGGCAGGAGTGTCAAAGAAGCACGAAGGACTGTTGCAGCTCAAATTCTCCACGGGAACACCTGTGTTCATTTGGCGTCACTTTCCGCTAAAGGGAGAATGAATCAAAAAATTCAGAAAGACAGAGGAAAGATGATGTTGTAGAGGATGAAGCAAACAAATTTGGGAAACGCTAAATGCACTTGACATCGATTCAGGTAAAGGAACAATAAAGTGATGAAAACGTAGAGTAATTTTCCTAGTCACTTTATGCATTCACTGTATATTCATACAAATATCAAAACATATTTTACAAGAGGAATATACATATGTATAGGGGAGTGACAGTTTTAAATATATCTGCATAAATATATTACATGTTTCACAAAGCAATATTCATCACTTTTCATTTATAGTACAGCATGTAACAATACTGCTTTTTCAAAACTGGCTATTGAAAATGTTATAATATATTATAGTCTAAAATATGTGCAACACCTTCAACAATGAATGCTGGAACAACAAATGGAAGCATAATATGCAGGAAAGTGGCATAAGATGGAAGGCAACATCACATAAAGTAATAGACAAAAAGGAAAACATCGCTATCAGCTTTATGCTCCGAAAGAAAGGCATACAATTCAGACATTCAATATTTTTTTAAAGCTGACAACATGGATTTAAATAAATTGCTCCCAAGTAGATGCAGCAAACAAATTAAGTTCCTTTTCATTCTGGTAACCTGCAACATCTAAATGTGAAGCCATTCCTCCATAAATTGTAATATTACTCTTTTAAAATGTGGCATTGTAGTAGCAAAAAAAAAGTACATTTACATTCTGAATACACATCAGTTCCTTTGTCTCAAGATTAGATATTCATGTCAATTGAAAATAAATTAGCACCCCGTTTCGCAGAAGTACTGGCTGTGCCTAGAGCGTTGCATAGTTTTCTTCTCCAGATAAAGGTGGTGCATTATTTTTTAATTTAAGTATTATCTACCTATATTGCTGTCAAGTGCCCTGAAACACACGGTCAACTACTGCATATGGGATGAGAAGAATGGGGGCTTGTGTGCATGACATGACAAAGAAACATTATAATGGGTGCACAAGATACACTCATTTGCACTGCCGTGCTCTGTATGCAACATGGTTGTTGCAATGCAGTTGATACGGATACAGTTGACATGTATGTATAAATATGTGTAAAGGTGTAGACTTCAGAATGAACAAAGCATATGTCACAGCACAGTGAAAAGAACATCAGACTCTGGTCGAAATTACAGCATGCCATGTGTAGAAGAATTAACGGTAGACATAGGACTTTACAGTAACTTCTGAAGGAAAAAGGATGCCATAATAATATTACATGTAACCAACATTAAGGATTCAGCTTTTTCTGAAATTACCTCCTAAATAAATCACACATAAAACTAAGTTCATGGCAAGGTTTGCACTGATCATGTCTGCTCGCTAGAAACAACGAGCTGCAATGAGTTTGACATTGGTTGCATGAATATTTTCAATAGAATTATGAATAAATAGTGGTATGAATTAAACCTGGGAAACAGAGTTCATACCTAGCACTACGACTATGTACAAATGTACAATTTCCTTGGAATTTGGATGATGCTATCAACAAACTCGTCCAGGGAAAGGAGAAGCATTGAAAATGGTTCAGGTACAAGAACTTCTTCCAAGAAGCTTTGTTCACACAAACACATTCGCTACACCAAAAAACATCTGGTCAGCTACTCACACTACAGTATATCTGATTGGAAAAGTTCATTCAGCTCTCACAAGGTAGTCAAACAGAAAAACAGTGCACACATTTTTGAGAATAAATCACAAGCAATTGAGGGACCGTTCAGATAATGTGGTGTGTGTAACAATGTATAACATCAGCCATTTATTTTGAATGTGCATGCAACAGTTGTAGCAGTAGTTTAGTCATTCTTTTTTTTTAAAGATTATCCTCCAAATAGTCCCCCGTGTCGCAAACGGACTAGTACAAGTTTTGAAGTTATGAAGCTAGTCCACGAAGGCTTGGTAAAAGTTGTCTGCTTATGGCAATAAACAATATGATTTCAATGTGAAACCCATGAAGAGCAGTGTGCAGCTCGCATAGCTTCGTGAGCTTCATGCTTCGTTCGAAGGAACGTTTGCCTGGCAGGAGGTTATGGTCGTCGCGGTTCCAAGGCATGTGACAGTTGCGTGAGCCTCCTTTGATTGTCGATCACTTTCAAAGTCCTGAGAAAGCAAGACAATCAGTCACATAAGAGAGTAAATTCCCAGATCACACCTTTGCAGAAAAGCGATACACATCTCAATAGTATTAAAATCTGACACGAAATATTTAGTTAACATAAGATGTTCTTTCAGTGCTAGTGTCAACATTTCTTCAAGCTACGGAACACTCCATTAAGGTGCAAACATTTTTTAGCAGCTTCGTCGGGGGGTAGTTGTAAACTCAGCATGGAGCACATTGAAAACCGCTGTACTAGATTTTTTGAACTATTTTTTTTCTTCTAAAATAATGACGAATTATTATAAATTATGTCATTCTTACTCTTTGCAATTATACCAAAGAAGGTTAAAATGGCACTGTTTCTTCTATTTTAAAGATATAATTAAAGGTGTCCAGGAGCTGAGCTTAAACATTTTCTTAAAACATATTGAATACATTGGCCTTCATCTACGAAATTAACGTAAAATACCGAGGGAGCGCCCGCTCCACTTTCACTGAAAACTGTAGTAATCTTGACATGGGTCCTTAACGTATAATTTGTCGCGTACAGTATATTTTGCAGAATTCCCATGTTTAGAACATGTTAATAGTCGGCACTTGAACGAAGCGTGCGCTTCCGCGGTATTTTACTGCGGATCTAGGAGATCTTCCTTAATCATTCTGAAGGATGGATTGTAGAAAATTATTTTATGTTAATATTTATTCTGCATTCATTAGTTATGAGAAACAAAAAGGTAGAACCCATTTTCAAATGTAAGATACTTAATTATATGTGCATTCAATGCTGCATGCTCTTAAACTATTTCTGCTTTGAAAAATGCAAAATATTCAATATACCTAATGTACTCCCGGACGTCTTGCTGAACTTTTCCCTGAGGGGGTGGCTCCAGATCTTTAAAAAGAACGAAAACATAAATTGGCATTACAACATGCAGGATTAACACTCATCTTTCGTGAAATACTAACCAAGCCTGTAGTGAACACTCAAAATAGACAATTGTAATGTAGTCTCTTAGATATGCCCTAACAGTGGAACTTATAAAGATTTTTTTACATTTTCACCAAAATAGAAAATAACTTGCACCATTGCACCTATGGTGGGGTTGGAGTGATTGAGCACTTAGAACAATCATGCTTCGTGTTTTTATGAAAGGAACCAGCCATTTTACAAGAGTGGCTTATGTTTTGCATGTAAGAAAGTATTTTCTGAATTTGCACTTTTGCATCAAATAAAAATCAAAGAATACAAAATGACTGCAACTTCTATAACAAGCAAAGCTCCAATAATGAACATGTGATAGAGTAACCTAAATAAATTAAGAAAAATAAAAAAGCGGCAAATTCAACACAAGATTGAGTTAGTATCCTGAATTTAAGAATCCTTCCAAAGCTCATTTCTGAATTGTTCTACCAGCCCATATTCCACTTCCATTAAAATATCACATACTTTTGGCGCTGGGATTTTTTATGAAGAGTATCTCCGTTTAACCCAATTGTGACAGATGATGCCACACCGACATAAATGTGGCTTATTAAAAAACAATATGCATGCAGAATGAAGTCGAACAATTCAAATTCAGCATAAGGATCTACTTACTTATTCTTTGGCTCCGCGAATGCCTGAGTGAACGAAGTGTTTGCCCAATCATGTGCTGAAATTAAAACAATACCAGGAAATCAAATTCAAGTTGTACAAGTGTCGGAGTAATTATAATCTAATATTAGTAATCAGCATTCATAAATTATATTTACTTGTAGGAAGCATATTTCTGAGTATATAATGCAACTGTACACTTTAATTGGAATTGTTATTGTGTTATAAAAGACAGTATAATTAGATTGTCGCTGTGTTCTAAGCAAAAAGAAAGCACAAAATAGGAAACATATTTCGATCACTAACTGAGGTTAATTGGCTCTTATATTGCAGGCTCATTCGGTCTGAGAAAACGTACCACGTTGCAGCAATTCCTTAACGTGCGTGTTCTTAGTTAGCGAAACCTCATCAAAACCTCATCTTTGCTGTTGAATGAAGAGGTGTATTATGTGTTTTTTGATCACCCCCCCCCCCCCCCCCCCCCGTTGTGTAATGCATCAAAGAGATACCCTTATGGTCAATAAAAAGAAAGTCAATAAACTCTGGCATCACGATCCACCCTGATAAACGGAGTGCCTGATTTAGAGGAGGCAATCAATGCACTTTACCTTAAAGGGATATTACAACAAAATTTCGGCACTTATTCCGTGTTCTATTTGTGTTCAAGGAAGCAGTATCACATCAGACACACTTGTCTCTTGTTGAAAAAGACACCAAAATGTATTTCGAAACAAACTAAATGATTAGCAAAGTGCACCTCATGAGTGTCGCTAACGCCTCGGTTGTAATGCCCGTCTAGGAACTTTGACAGGTAGTGAGGATAACTGTCTCGCCTGCGGCCATCACGAGAGAAGAGGGGAAGGAGGAACTCCCTTCTCCCAAAACTCCCTTTCGTGTGCCCCAGATGTCGCTATTGTACCTCTACAAGATTATAGAAGATTAACCCGTCATCAAAATTTGTACAGATGCAGCTTTGGGGTTAGTCGCAGTTGCCCGATCGTTGGCGTGCTTCGGCCGCCTCGGTGGCTAGAACGGCTAGGACACCCTCCCAACGTCAGCCTCGCCGCAGCTTTGCTCGTCCCGAAACAATCTATATCACGATTGCGGCGGACGTCACTTGCTCTCCGCGGGCTGCTCTCTGAGCGCTTACCAGGGCAGGCCGTTTATAACGAAAAATACAGCCATCCAGGCTCAAAATACAAACATTGCGATTGTCATTGACGGATATTGTGGATCATATACATCCTATTTGTGAACACGACGGGTATATTTCAAATTTCGTTAACCCCTCCTTTTAAAGGGAAACTCCGGTCAAAAACAAAATTAGAATAAAGGACTGGTATCGCTTTACTGGTGCGAAATATGATCACAACCGAAGTATTACGTCAAAGTAAATCCGCGCACTTCATTAAGCCCGATTTTAAAGTTGCGACCAGCTGCTCTTTAGCGGGCGGCAAGCTGGTTAGCTTTTAGTCGAGGAACACTAGCGCAGCACCCTTATGACGTCACTTCGCGGTGGAGCAGTGATTGATTGAATGTACTGCGTACCGCAGCACCCTTGTGACGTCACGTCGCGGCCATACGGCTGATGATCAGTAGCTGTGTTCGATTCACCTGCAGTTCCTGCACCTGTGCAGTAGAGTGCAGGGCAGTGTACTTCCGGAATGTCTATTGAGATGCGACCGGAAGTACTCCTCCCTACATTTTTCTGCGCCGGTGCAAAAGGTGCAGGCAAATCGAACGAAGCTAGTGTTGCCATCCCTATAGCAGATTTTTTCTGTTTTGCCGTAGACGCCGGAAACCAAACTTTGAGCCGTGATGTTTTTGAAACTACACATAGTAGCGAGAGAAGAATTATACCTTATCATTAGCTGAAAACAATCGTAATCACAAATTCGAGCAACATTCACCAGAGTTGCTCTTTAAAAAATGAAAACACAAGCTTGCAAATTGCTTTACGCCTAAGAAAATGCAGAAAACGCTAGGCCACGACACCAAATTAGTACATTCCACACCACCAGGCGAAGCTAATCTACGGTTTACATCCTAAGCTACAAAGAAATCACTGGTATCAAACGTTTTCAGCTTTTTTTTATTCCGTCGCTGCCTCTAGAGGTTTTTCAAGGCTTACTTAAATAATGCCTTCAAATATGTAAATGCTAGATTATGTTAAATGGCAGTTAATTAAGTACCTCCGTGCCCTCAACACTCAGAGGGAAGACTGGAAGAGAGAGAATATGACAGAAGAAAGGGTAAGCAAAAGTCAAAAGTATGAAGTGTCATTTCATCTTTAGGCAGGGCCAAGGGAAACTTTTTGCCACAGCAACATAGACATCAGTTTATTTGTATGTTTTCTGTCTACTGTTTACGACTTTGGTTAACATATTGCTGAGAAGGAGATCCATACTATAAACGTCCAATGTCTTAGCATGAAACAATAATAAAAAGAGAAGCAGGTGTCATGTTCTAGATCAAAGAAATCATGCAGGCAACAGAAAGCTTGAAATGCATGGTACCTCAATAAATGTTTCCCAAGCCCTCAATGCAAGCTAAATTGAGAATAACTCTACCAACCTTAATTATTTCAGTAAGTCAATCTCCTGAAAATGGAATTAAAGATTTTTAAACTTGAATCATTCGTTTCTTTAAGAAGCGCAATCAAGTAAACCATTATATTGCCGCCCGCAGAGCCGAGAAAGCAACGCTTGGTCACGGTACTCTAGAAGATTCCCGTTCCTTCTCGCACCAGACGTAACTTTCTTTCTGCTTTGTCGTTCTCGAAAGTGCCAGTTCATCCTCGCCCCGAGCGCGCGACGCTCGAACTTTCTTTGCCGAACTTTCGAGATAATGACGCACGCTACCCGCGACCTTGTCGAGTCAGTCTCAGTTTCGCTCGCGCCCTGTTTAACCGCCGAATCACCGCCTGCTTTTCTGCTGCCTCGACGCTCTTTCGTAACTTATTTTTGGTTGGCACAAGTTCGCCTATTAAACCTTTATTTTCAGTTTACTCTTTCCCTTTTCGTCGCCTTAATTCGTGACAATATAAGGGGGGGGGGGGGGGGGGGGGGGAATCAAAGAACAGAGGAGCTACGATAACTCATAGCGTAAAAAAGCGGTGTGTGTGGCAAGTTACGAACATATCAGTGCCTCCCAGTCAACAAAAACGTGGTATTGGATGATAAGGTTCAAAAACTAATATAGACAAAAGATGCGTGAACGTACCAAGCTGGCCTTAGACTTTCCAGTTTCACCCGAGAAACACCAATAAATATCCGTCGGCGGTGTCGAAAATTACAAATTGGTTATAACTTATAACAAAAAAAAACGAATAGACATCTGCCGGTATCAAAAATAAACAAAATTGGTTTAAACCGATACGCACCGTTTTCTTAAACTTTTTCTCCAGTTAATGCCTGTTTTTCGTCAAAACCCTCCCCTCTGACACTAAAATTTTTCGTTTTTTTAATGAGAATGATTAACCAATAACCAGCGTTTTTTTCAGCATCGGTCCGAAGCCGATGACCTAAATACACCAATATCTTAGAATAAAGACAAAAAAAAACACGTTCGATACTGGTGTTCGATATACATGAACACCAGTAAATTTAGAGCCTAAGAATGAGCTATGCCTTGCGTTTTTCAAGTTGTCAGTTAAGACACCGTAAAGACACTTATATATAGACATTTTTAATGCGAGCTTTGTCCCCGCGTCCCCGAGAAAAAAACAAGTGGGCTCACCATCTTCTCGAAGTTGACCAGGCCGTCAATGTACGTCTTGTTTCCCTCGTGGCAGAACGTCATGTCCTTCAGCAGGAGGGGCATGAAGGGCACCAGCGGGGGGCTGATCTTGGACACGGCCACTCGGTAGCGTCGGTGGTTTCGAGACGGGTCAATCAGGGTCTCGAACTCGGCAAAGGTGCGCTTCAGCTTCCCCGGCAGTCGCTCCCACGTCTGGCTGAGCCGGCTCACAGCAACGTTGCTCAGCCCCATAACAATGGCGAAGAAGGCGTTGAGGTTTTGGTACTCGCGGCAGCTGAAAAGAGAAAAGAGAATTAGTGGCTGCCGTTTCAGGAAGGCGGTCTAAAACGGGGAACCTAAGATGTTCGACAGGGCAAGAAGTAATAACCCCTCAAAGCTCGTGTGAGCTGAAACCAGATGCCACAATAGACATCTATCGTATTTACTCAAATGTAAATATCGTGCTCTAGCTTCACACCCGCGGTGTGATTGAACGGCCACGGAATTAACTTAATCGGTGCCGCCATTTTAAAATAGTACTTGGGTTCCCATGTTGTTGTTTTTTTTTTCTTAATTCTTATATCGATTACAAACCAAGTGTTTCAGCGAAAATTTGCAAAAATGTCGACCAATAATATAGTTGAGAAAAGAAGCTTTTCGGGAACGAACTGCCAGTTACGACGGATGTCAGGAATGTGAGAAAAACATACTTATTATCAAAATTATTAACTAAAATTTACTAATTCTTTTTTTAATTCGCGAAAACGACCAGATAGCTTCACATAAGAATTTTCTGAGCGTCATCGAAAATCCCTAAATCAGTCAATAATTTGAAGACTTAAAGCACTCATAAACCAACCGCGGGTGTCCGTTATAGTTACCACTTGTGCAACTGCAGGCACCACCTGGCGATGTGAAAACGCGAATGATAATAATTGCATCCGCGTTTCCGGATCCCTAGCATTGTGCATGCTGAAAATCGGTAACATCTTTTTTTCTTTAAACACACGTATATTTTTGATACTTGAAATAAGAGCCATTGAATTTAAGTGCACATTTATCAAAGCGAGGTGTTTCTGCAACTCACTCGGTGTTAACTTCTGTAGTTGCACTGAGGGTAAATCAAATGGTTGAACGGTTTCTAAATTTTAACGCTCTGGCTTCTAGTGTGGTTTTATTTTGCAACTTTGACGGCTTTCTCCTGTCGGGCATTCTACCAAGCCAAAAAAGTACCGTGAAGGTGCATTATTGATTCTTAGCCTCGCGTTACAGTTCTGATAATTTTTTTTTTGCATGGCAATATTTAAGATTGTTGTTTGCGCTACAAACGTGGTTGTGCTAAAATAAGTAAACATGGCACAAATTTTACTTCCCTGCAGTGTTGTACCATCTATTCCTTTGCATAGATCTTCTACAACACAGGTCAACCAACTGACAACTTATATAGGACTGAAATCTGGTGACCTACTACTCAGCTTTTCAATGACAGATGACATCTTTCTCAAAACTACCCACATTATTACAAACATCCTAAATGTAAATGAAATGTCGATTCCAACTGGCTAGCTTAAGCTCTCTCTCTCTCTTAGATTATGGTCTGAATGAATCTAAAAAATCTTTGTAAAGTTTTTTTTTATATGTTCCAGTTTAAGTTGTATTATGCTGTTTGCGCCGAAAAGGATGTAGTCCTGAATGAAAGGAGGTAGTTGTTCGACCAACAGACGCTTCCACACTTAGACTAGATGTGTAATAACTGATTAATTTTATTGTATAAGATATAAGGACATTATTGTCGGAGACTTATATATAAGAATCTGATATGTAGAAGCAATTTCTTGGCGCAATAAACAGATATGATAAAACAAGATCATATAAGAATGTATAAGAATCATACAAGAGTATGTAGGAAGTTATAAGAAACTGATATGTTTCATATAACTTCTTATAAAATATTGCATTGTTTTTATATGTTCTCATACGGTTCTTATATGACTGCATATTATCTTATTTGATCCCATGCATTTATTGGGAGAAAACATTTCTTATACATGTAATATTTTTTTTACGAGGGTACCTGAACAAATTCCATCCTTCACTGAAAAATAGGCAAACTTTACTGTCCTTACATATTCTTCTTTAAACACTAATATATTAATCACTAACACAGGTCATGGTATTCATATATCATTGTATGAATGCTAAAAAGGTATGCGGGAATGAAGCATCCTCTTTGTTTTTGCTGTCATGTAATATCTGACAAAACAATGCTAATTATTGTTTTATGCAAATGGACATTGCCATAACATCAATTTTAAATGCTCTAACTAAAAGAATGTGATTATAGTTATTTTTATAACAGTTCTGTCGCATTGAACACAAGCATGTGCAAGATTGAGAACAGACATGAGAACATAAACACACATGTTAAGGTCTCAGATCTTCAATGATAGAATGAAAGCTAATTTAAACGAGGCGCAATCAAAAAGTTTAGAGGCTAATTTTGTAGCGTAAGAAGAGAAGTCTTCACGGTCATGCACGTACAGCATTGAAAGCAAACACCTTCAGGAATCCTTTATTTATTTATTTTATCTATCCAATACCTACAGTGCCTCTTCAATGCATTCTTGTAGGAGGTTTATATCATTAAAACAAATACATTAAATATAATAAACAAAAATAGATGCCTCAGGCGTCTTTCTGCGAACATTTTAGCTGGGCTACACGATTTCTTGTGACCGTGTGCATGAGTAAAATGTCGATTTCGGCATGCACTGAGAGCAAAAGCGAGAGCAAATACCAATTCTGCATCAAACTCAAAAAATGGCTCAGCTGACTTATGACAAAAGTGCAGTGGGTCGTGCGACTTGTTTTCAGAGGCACTCGCATTTCAAGAATGGCAGAGTATCACAGGAAGACGAAGAGGTGGGGAAAGGTTGCCCTGTCTCTCTTCGTCCTCCAGTGATGTTCTGCTATTTCATGAAACAGTGGGCTAAACACTGCACTTGTTTGTGGAAATTATAAAAGTGCATTAGAAGCACTTCAAGGCGTTTTATACATAGGAGATTATGAGTAAGTTTTGCCTTTCTCAGTGTGCTGATAATGTTTTAATCTTTAAAAAATAAAACAAAACTTACTGGGCAGCAATCTTGATGAACTTGCGTAGAAGTTGCACTCTCCTGCTGAGCGATGTGGCGAGGCACATTTCGGTCACAACCCAAAACTGCACCTCATTGAACCTCCGCTGGAACACATCCAGGTTGGACATAATCTTCCGGAACTGATGCCGTCCAAACACCTGGTAGATCAGTTCATACTGAAACAAGGAACAAAACATTTCATTTAGTGTTAATAACAAAAGTAATGGAAGTACCTGAAATCATGGTTCAGAGCTTCAAAACTCTACTGAGTGTTTGTAATTGAGCAAACTATAAAGTTCTCATCAATATCATCTATGGAAACTACAAGTCTATTATTACGACACAACTTGGACTAAATATTTGTCAAACTGGCCAACAATGTTTGACATGCACCAAATCATAAAACCTTCTAATGTAGTGGGCTTCAATGGCGCAGCCAATGTTGCTCTTCCTTTTTCTTCAAATTCTGACAGACTATGGACCATCTTGCATGGTAAATTATGTGAGTGTTTTTACCACGTAGGTGGGCCATGTCATAGAAAATGTGAGCTCAGTGTAGCCTGCAACAGCAGTTTTCATAACTGTCAGTGGTCATGTCTAACACTGTATTAGAGAAACAATTCTCTATATTGTTCAACAATTGAGGCGAGGCCGTTCATTGGTCCTTTTTCCTGTAAAATCCCCCATTATCCCACACATTTCAGACTGATGAGGGCTGCCCTTTAAAATTCAATAAAACTCTGAGCATAGAGAATTCAGAAATAGCGTAAACGTAAACAATATACAAAATACTCGCACATCTTTAGGCCACGACCAAGCTCACCCGGTCGCGACCTGGGTTTGGTAGCCCCCTCTGCTGGTAAGTTTAATTTATACATTCTTGAAAGAGCATAGAAAAGAAACTTTTATGCTAGACAATTACCCACATCTCAAGAAGATAGTTTTTGGTTGTATATTTTAAATGAAGCGTCGCAAAAGCCACAAAACGCCGCCACAGCACCATTTTGTTGCTTACATTTGTTTTCCTTATATACCTAGCTGAAGAAAGAGGAAAATTAATTTTTCCCGTTTAAAACCAAAGTTATTTTGGGAAAGCAAATGAAAGTGGGCCATGTGCCCTAAGCTGGCCAATGTGGCGCTTACCTCATGTATGCAGGAAAAGAGGTACCAGTCATAAAGAGACATGTGGTAGGCAATGTCATGCGAGCTGAGCGTCTCCAGAAGAGCCCCCGTTCCTTCCAGTGGACCCTCTTGTTCGCTAAGAGGAGTCTAGAATTGGGAGAAAAAAAATAGAAGTATTATTTAGGGAACTTTAGGGTTGTGCGAATATTCGAAATTTTCAATAGTAGTTTCGAATAATAGACTATTCGATATTCGCTTCGAGAAGAACTGCACTATTCGCGTTTTTCAAAGTGTTGATTGCGGTGGGTTAGCCCCGTTGAGTGCGCTTCTTTCTGAGCACCATTGCACAGCGGAGAAGCAATAACCACGGAAGCGAGCTCCGCGGGTGTTGCTTCTCCGCATTCCACGGAGCTCGGTAAGAAGCGCACTTAACGGAATAACCGACCGCGATAAACGCTTGGAAAATCATACATTCAAAGAGGGATGGTGCACGCATGCCGGATCTATTTGGGAATAAATGGGAACTTTGTGAATGTGTATATCTACAATATAGTAAAAGTTACAAAATTAAACTGACTGGTATGCAAGGGTATACTATATTAGGCAGAGATACCCTTACAACCTGCGTTCAACATGCGCAATTATTTATTTTTTTAACTCGAGATTAAAGAAGGCATATTTTATATAGCAAACTTTGTAAATTCCCTCAATTGAGTATAGTTGGCCGTCTCTATAGGATTCATTTTATGTCAAATTGGTTGTTTACTTGCCATCCCAAAATATCAGACCTTATGAAGACAAAGTTAAAAAATGTAGATAAACTTAGCTTATAAATGAACAAGTGGAACAACCTTCACAAGTTAGCTGGGTTTTCGTCTAAGCATTACGCAATGGTTGTGAAAAGCATGGAAGAAGTATTCGATATTCGCATCGAAAATATTTGGCCAAAACCAGTATTCGCTTCGAATTCGCTTCGAACTCAAAATCCATTATTTGCACAATACTAGGGAACTTTCTCTGCTTATTTAAAGAAAGGTGGATTTGTTAATTTATTTGGTTCCTTCTAAAACACAACTCCTATCAGCCCTTTGAAAACTTCTCATCAATCAAACACCTTTTGAAAACTAGGTAGGTCAGATCCTGGAAGTAGTCTTTGCACACTCATTCATCTCAGTTCACTACTGCATGGAAAAGGAATGAACTAGTGTGAGACAAAAAAGGTTTTACCACACAGCTAGTATAGTGCACTGCAATTGAACAAATCCTAGAAATGCAGTCAATGGGCTGAGCATTATTGGAACGAAAATCAATATTTGCACGTTACTGGCCACTTTCGAAAATTAGTCATTTTCCGGATTGGAGTCTTGAGACAAACGGAGCACACAAACAATACAGACAATAACACATTCAGAAATTTGCCTAAATGAGCTGCGAGTCTACGCGACCTGAGTAAAGTATGAACGAAAAAGTGATTTGGTCTACTAGTAGTCTTCATATGCAGTTTATGGTAAATTCACTATATAAAAGTTCCTTGTGCAAAATAGTGTTTTCTCCTTAGTGTGCAGTATGATCACCAAGAAGAAATCATTAATGCACGAGCGAACTAAAAGAAAATTGTGAAATTTTTAACTTTTCCAAGCCGCAAACATAACCGAAACCATTGTTAACCGATGCAAAATCGTCACAGAGAGCCAGCCACACTACTGTTTTTGCTTTAAAATTTCAGCGCTGTCGTAATTTGTCCTGTTGGTTAATAAGATGAAGCCACCTGAAAAATATTAGCTCGTAGACAAACTTACAATTGTTGCAATTATTTAGCATAGTAAATAGTGTATCAACATGAAGCTGGCATGAGAATGCATAAAATCTTCCAGCCTCGAAAAAAATTGAAAATGCACTGTGTCTGCAGTGCATCATTGCACGTTTATGCTCTTTAAGTTTTGCAATTTCGACAGCACATTCCTTACTTCATAAAGGAGCTAGGACATGCGAATTAAACAGCTAGACTAGGAATGCTCATGTGTTACTTAGTATATCCACAAGGTTTGGCGATTTTGCGAGCTCCAGTAATTGCAATGATAAATTTATGAATGTTGATCATTTTTGTCTGGCGACTAGGCAAGACTGCTCAAGTTAGTCACACCATGGTGCCCATAAATGGCTACGTGATCAGCATATTTAGTTGAACGCTCTCTCATTCTAGATGCCCCCAAGCTCGCCTTGCCACGGTACGATCACACACTCTTACGCTACACGGCTACTACAACGTATACTCTTACACTTGCCCCCTTGCCTTTCTATCTTCCGCCCTGTATGCACGTGCGCGGTCGTCGCGGGAGACGGCGAGCTCGTCCGTGACAATCTCGTCGTCGTCGCTGAAGCTGGTTGTGTGCCGGTCGAAGTCAAAATGACCAGCTTCCAACATATTTTGATAACACCACTCTCATCACTGCTGCGATCAGTGTCGAGGACATTCGACGAAGCACGTGATGCCATAGACGTCACCGTCTCAAAACCCCGTTCTTGAAACGCGGAAGGTAAACGTGGAAGCTGAAGCGCTAGTCGCCGAGAAAGCCAAGTCTGCGAGTGCGTGCAAGGAGACGTCGCCCCTTGGACAGATGACAGCGCCGACCGAACAAATGCAGTAGCGTTTTCGAATGGAGTGGATCTAAAAGGCCCGCATATAAATCGATTTAACCACGAAATTATCGCACCATTTTCAAACCAAACTCAGCAGGATTATAGGAACATACAATGGGGCCTAGCAGTAGAGTTATCTCATATTTTATTTTTGGGGTGTCCTATTCCCTTTAAGAGCAGAGAAACAAAGAAGCAGAAAAATGTTCACATATTGGCGTGCCAAGTGAGCATGTTATCCGGGATGTATTCCACTGGACCGCTAGTTGAGTAAACGTTAAGTTTCCTGAAGTTACAAAAGAGCAGCTTGAGGCATGAAAACTAGTACAAAAGCAAAGAAGTTCAAGCACTTGCTCAAATGGTTCTTACCAGTGCGTCTAAATGGTCCACCGGTGAAATGAAGATTCTGCCATTGATGCTGAGTCCGGTAGGCACGCTCACCTCCGAGTCCTTGAAAGATATCCGCTCTGTAATGTCAAGTAAAAGAGTATTAGCGTATTCCACCAGAATTATAATTCTCTGCGGACAAATATTTTCTTGGAGGCCTGGTTAACATAAACTCCTTGGGTTAGATTTTGTCAACCAAAGACCTTCTGCAGCTGGGTTAAGTGTAGCTTAAACTGTCCATAACATGTCTCTGCTGTACATCAACAGTACAAGCAACAATAAAACATATTCGTGTCAAAAATAAAGTATCGATGCAGCAGAAAGCACCTGTTCTGGTTCAAGATTCTCACTTTTCAATTTGTTAAGAAATTTTTGTCTGAACACAATCCACTACAGAGTGCATGCTGTAGAGGGTTACAAGGCCAGAGGGGTTTTCGCACAAGAGACCATAAAGGTTTAAAGGTCCAAGCATACAAAAAAAAATCGCAGATGACTCTAGCCGTCAGCAGAGATGTTCTATTCCACAGGTTGAACATAACATTTAGATGTTGGGAAATGTTTACAAAACATTTTTATTTTTGCAGACAACTTCAAAATGGCACGAACATCATTTAGAAACCGAGTTTCTTCACTATTACTGAATAAATTACAGATTTTCAAATGGTAGAGTAAAAAATCTGCATGTGGAGCTCTAAAGCTAATTTTCAAACCCGAGTTCTAATTGTTGAAGTGGCAACGTTTGACTTCTTTACGCACTAGGGCTGGGGGAAATCCTGACATGAAAAAGAAAGCTGATTAAAGAAATACAGCAGCAGCAATCTGTCAGTGGGGCCAAGCAACTCGAAGAAGCAAAGCAGAGTGTTGTGAATCGTCCGGCAATCCGGAGTGGTGTCGGTCAGGAAGGCAAAGTTCTATGCTGACCTGATTGCTAAATTAAATTAGCTCACCTCCTGAGGATTTCACCTCCACGAGCACCAGGTCATCCTTGAGGCTGAGCTTTTCAGCTGCATTCCTTTTGATACATTCAGCAGTTGCGCTTACTGCCGTCTTCAGGGTTGTATATGTATGGTCAGCACAGTACACCCTGAAGATTACTAAAAAGAAGAAAATGCAACACAACAATGTAGGAAGGCCAAGAGCTTGGTGAATTACCTGCCACTTTAGGTAATGTTCATGCTGAATCAGATTACATGTTAAGCTGCCTCGGCGGCTTTGAGGCAAAGCGCCGGTATACAGATCCCCAGTTGGTGGGATAAAATCCCAGCCGAGGTGCCCGCAATCTCATGGAGGCATATTGTATAAAAGGCGCTATGGTAGCGGAGTCAAACGTGAAAACAACGCAAAAAATTGAACAAAGGACAAGTGAAAGGAGTGCAAGGACAAAGCGCTGTGTAGCATGCCTAAAGATCCCCAGGCTGTCTAAATTAATGATCAGTCCTCCAGTGTGGCGTTCCAGATGTCCCTCGCTGGTTTGACATGTAAACCACCTAAATTTACCTTTAAATCACACGTTAAATGGCCCATGTTGGCCACATAGTATTTTCATATTTATTTAATTGGAGAAAGAGCGAAATACACTTCACTGGCATACCTGAAAACTCTTAGAAATAATTTTTGTTCCGTAAGAGTAACATTCCACAAGACAGAATGAGCGACTCACTCTCGTCATTTGGCTTGATGGGTCTGTGGTGATCCACTGTTTCCTCTGAGGTAGTGCTTCCAGATGACAGGTGGCGAATTTGACCGAAGGGGCTAACTTTCCACCGCTGGGGAGCTGCAGCTTCATGCTCTTTGATATACCTGAAATTTATACTCTCTTAAGTCTCAGGTAAAAGCACATTAAAACTGAGCTCCAAAGTAATAGAATATAAAAAACATTGTAATATCTACACAGATTAGAAACATTTATTTGTCCTAAATCATTGATGAATTAATGAAATAAAGGTACAATTTGATCATTCCTGACTCATGCCTACTCTGGCATAGGGCTAACGAAAAGGAAAAATTACATAAACCCTGGCAGACCTATGTTTAACTGCATAAATATGGAGTTTTTCTTGTTAACTTTTTCCTTTCATAAAATGATGATGGTTCAGCATAGTGGGAATATCATATCTTAAGTGCTTATAAGATAATGAGCACTCAATATTACAGGCATCAGTCAGATATAGGTTCAAAGCTTTCACATATTAGACAGTTGATGAAAATCGAAATCATCAAACTCTTTGCTTCTAACATTCCTACATTCTTAGTTTATGAACTCCTGAATAAACCTATGTTAAAAAGGAAACATTTTGGTTCTCATAGATGACCTGATCTCAGAAACCAGCAAAATCAACTGCATTGGGCAATTCATTCAAGAACGTACGTTCTCTTCATACACTCTGCATTTGATAAATTTTAGACAGTTTGGTAGGAGTTGCTGCGCGTGGTCAAAAGTAAAAACATGCATGGTCAAATGTTTCTGTATCAAGCTTCCTTTCTTTTATATCTTCCAGTTGACAAAAATCGAGGACAGACGTTGCAATGTGCGAAGAGCTGAGGATGCTTCGTGTGTTCAAACTCAATTTTAGATTGTTTATCTTTATTTTATTTTTGTTATATCTAACATTTTTAATGATGGTGTCACATAACGCGTTAAAACGATACAAAACTAATTAGTGTTTATAATTTTAAGTCAAGATGCTCAGCAAGGCAACAAGAAGTGTGATACCACATTTACAAAACAAATGGCTAGAATGCACTGATTGGTAAGTTGGGTTACTTTTCTTGGAGGTCCATTATCCTGGACATTGTCTTGATTTCCTCCTGTAGACAGCCTGTGTATCGTGTGCTGTCGTCTTTTACAGCTTTGCACAGTTCCTGCGAGTAAAACCAAATGTTAGCTTCCCCAGTCAAACATTTGCAACAACTACAGAAGTTAACAAAACTGGTCATGATTATCTTAAAATCATGCAACCGGTGAAAAGTGATATTATGCCATAGAAAGAAAAGAAAATATGAGAGTGGTAAAGGGAGAAAAGTACGCCAGGTGAAGCAACATGCGCGAAACAACATAGACAATTGTAAACAGGGTTACTGGCCTCCACCATGTCTCCTCTCGTGCAGGAAATCCTGTGCAATTACAAGCTTGTCAAAGCTACGTTCACGGGCACGCTGCATATTCTTGCCCGCACGGGGAACCAATCAAGGTGCCATGCTTACAATCGTCTATAAGCATAAAAAAATAAAAAGTACAAAAAGTGGAGCACAAGAGCGATGCAGAGAAAACGACAGAAAAATAAAAAGACACATAAGGGAAAAGAGTCAAAGTACAGGCTAGCTGGTGGAAGTCAACCATTTCGTCGTTTACCCTGAGACTGGGGGGGTTTTTTGAAGAGCAGAAGAAACAGAAAAAACAGACAGGTCTCAAACTCAGCCATACGTTTATTTCAAAAACTTCCTCTTATATAGTTCGTCCTGTCTGTTTTTTCTGTTTCTTCTGCTCTTCAAAAAAAACCCCAGTCTCAGGGTAAACGACGAAATGGTTGACACATAAGGGAGTCTGAAAAAAAAAATATTCGGAAGCATGTTTAGTAGGAAAACGAAAGAGGAAAAACAGTGAAGGAAATGAAGTCGCAGAAGTGAACGGTGTTTAATATTATGCAAAGCGCTGAGGTTTGCTTTCGCATTAGAATGTGACTACACCAGTTCATGCAAGCTGTTGACCAAAGTCATGTGGAGCTGAAGCGGTCAAACAAAAGGCAAGGCAGTTTTACCTCGACAAATGCCTGGATGGTTGGGTCCTCAAAAAAGGCTTCTCGAACAGTGAGGGCCCAGCTGTTTGCAAACTGTATCACTCTCCTCTTATTTGCAAGGATAAACTCCTTCTCTTGCCTAGAGTTGGCCATGTCAATGCGATAGGTGAAATATTAAGTTAAGGATACATAGCGCAAGTAATAGGAAAGCATGTTTGCTCAGTGGCACTTAGAGGGTGGTAGCAGATATGCCATTGACACTAATTGACACATAGTAAGCATGAAATTCTAAGTCATTCAATGTAAAAAGGATATTGCTTCATGAGTTCTGGACAGAGTTGGTGACTTGGCATAAATATTACATGAGTTAGAAGGAAATCCTCCAGGAAAGTATCTGTAGAAAAAGCATATATGTGTTAAGGTGCAAGGTAAGTTGACCTGTGCTTACTTGATTTAAGAATTTACTTTTTCAAAATGGAGTAAAGAAGCTGACCAATACCTGCGGCTTCTTCCGTCCTACTGTCTATTCTTGTCTCAAGTAGGTGCTCCAGCATCTTCTGTGGTGTTCCTGCCATCACCATGTACCTGTAAGTTGGATTCAGGGGACAAGGGTTAGAATAGGTAACTAAATGGTGAGTGTGTGTGCAATTCAATGGAGATCGAACAACTTGGATCGACACCCTTGTACCGAAAAGGGAGACCAACACAAAATAGTCTTTTTATGTCCAGTTGGGTGAGGCTTTAGTAATTCTAAAACATATAATAAAGTACATAACTTAATTTTTTGAATGTATCAATCTCTAATGTTATGACAGTTAGATTTTTAGGTAAGTCTTGCTAAAGAAATAATAAAAAATGTTCATATTCAGTTTCTTCCACATAAACGTTTTAGCAGATGTAGAATAATTCTTGAAATGTAAAAAACTCCCATTTAGAAATTGCTGCTGTCTAAACACGTTTTATCTCACAAACTTATTACTGTAAGTAAAGTGTATCTCCACTTTAATAACGTGAAAGCAAAATCATTAAGAAAATAAGACATGAAGGCAAGCATCAGTGAAATACTAAATCTGATTAATTTCGAGGTTGAATAAAATACTTATGTACGTTTATTTAATGTGGCTACTTAATTACATGCTAAATATTTCTCAAACATAAATAAACTCCATGACACAGCAATAACAAAGAAGTTAGAAGTCATAAAACGTTTGCACGCATGTATGACATACATATGCACAGTGATATAACTTTACATTACCTTCTTAAGTGTATGCTCGCGATTGGTACAAAGGTGAATACGCGATTGTTGACCGCTACGTATACCTGCAGCATGATAAAGAGGCGGCCGTGGCGGGTTGTGCTCCTTTACCCGTTCACCCATAAGCTAATAGTACAATAGAAGCTACGCGCTCGCCGAACCAATCATTCATCATCTAAGCCCGCTCTCTGCAGGTAGCTGTGGGAGGGGGCGTGGCCACATGACGAAAGATCGACATGTGACTGCTCCAACTAACACGTAGCGTCCACCCTACTGTCAAATTGGGAATCAAACAGGGCATAATTATGCGCCTTGCAACGCTTGGTTCGCAAAGCCCGCACGCCGTCAAACCATCATCATCATCATAAAGCCTTTATTGGTGCCAATAAACAACCAATCATGGTCTGCAATGTAGCACAGTGAAAATGTTGTACAGCCGTAAAACGTGCTCATTTATACCTATTTAAAAATGCAAATAACGATGAAACTCCCTACAGAAAAAGCCAGTATTATTTTTCGTTATCTGGATGGTGGAACTCGAAATCTATATGGAATCTATCTAGATTTCCGGTTTTTAGAAAATGTTCCTTTGTCTGCAATTTGAATTTCGGTTTCTAGAATGAGATTTCCAGTTCCATAATCCAGATAGGAAAACGTTATACTGATTTTTCGGTGGGATACTATGCAACAAAACACCACCGTGAATTTCTAATGATAGGAAACAAGGTGATATAATTGTCAATGAGATTTACCGAGCTCCCAAAAATGTCAAACTTTTCATGCCCAAGATTGTTTGACATCTTTGCATTCCAGATGTTGGTGATGTCATGTGTTGATCGTGGTGATAAAAAGTGAGAGCTCTCCTATTTGAGCAAACCGGTACGTTCAAATTCACTGTGCATAAAAGTGTTGAGTGACTGCTCCGTGAGCTATTCTACGTAAAAAGGCAACGTCGCGTGACAATCTTCAATCACGGTTGCCGTTTCATGACGCTACCAGTACGCAGCGGTCGACAATGACGGCGTGTTTGCCTTCGCAAGGACCGCGACTGTTCCATACTAATTACTGTATGTGCCAGCGTTCGGTTAAAACTCGTGTTCTCCCCGATCGAACACGAGTCCCAGCCGAACGCTTGAGCAGCACTCGCGTCCATTCTGGGTACCGATGACACATCGAAACAGAAATTTAAAAAGTACCCCCGAATTCAAATTCAAGAGTCACGAAAAAACTCACTTGTAGTGAGAGTGGGCACCATTGCTGTTCCGCGCATCGGCTGGAATCTTTTGAAGGAGCAGGACATCTTGACCGTGTTCTTTTAATCTCACCGTATTCGCTTCGACATCCTGAAAAGAAATCAAATCACATTACCTTTCGACCATTTCTAAACTGCAATGAAACCGAGCCGCGAGGCTAATCTTGACATTGCGATCGACTATATCAAAGCGCTTATATACTACACTTCCAAAGACGGCAAAAAAGGGGGGAAACGAAACAGGTACTTTTGCTTAACATTAACTGAAAACCTATTAAACACTAAACTAGTGCGAAACATATGATTCATAAAACTAAAAATGACCGCAAGAGTTGGCAATAAATCCTCGCTTCTGGATAGCCATCGAAATAGTTTAGCGATCAGAGTCATTTTGATGACGAAGCGGGTTACTATTTCAGTAATACATCACCACGTACACGGCTCCTATCCCATATGCAAGTTTGCCGCTAATTCGCGGCGACGGTCCCAATGCTAGCACACAACTTCAAAATGTGTTATCCAAGCTGCACTACAGCCAAAGGCTGTTCTCTGAACCGCACATAAAACGCTGACTTCTGGCAGTCAGTTACGATAGCAACGTCAAACCGCGACAACGTACAAGTTGAGCTCAAACGTGCAAAAACACAATACGCATCTGCACAGGAAGTAAGAAGTCCGCGAGCCTCAGCCTCCAATGAAGCGTGCATAGACACAAGGGCGTGCAGGAAAACCAACAGAGTGTGACAGATAACAAAATATTATGAAAGGTGCCTCTACAATAAAGCTCCTGGCATGGCGTCGAAACAAAACAGAATAACTGTCTTTCTCTAGTACGTGTGACATAACAAACTTCCACGATAAGACAAGAAGCCCGTAGTCAATGGTAGGTGAGGTGGCGATCTGGAGCGCGGCCAAAACGAAAACCAAAGTTTAGGAATAACCTTATTCTGGGCGTTATTGAGATCAGAACAGAGTACGTCTTCCTAAGGACGTCCTCGGTACGCCCAATATTCATGGATGAATGGATGGATGTTAATGGTTATAGCCTTTGTAACGGGCCGTAGCTCGCTCCACCTGGCCTAAGTCATAAAAGACAAAGATATAATTCCTCCCGCCCTTCTAACCCAATTTTCTCTCCCTAACTATAACCAGGCAGTGTGGAATACAACAGGATGACCCTTGGGGGGTCGGGCAAAAAGCTAAAAAAACATCACCCCCGCCTCTTCCCTCCGGCGAGGGAGTCGCGAATTTTCCTTTAGTCAAACCTTGTCGGCGTTACCCCTGCACCGGGCCCACTGGGGGACAAGGTTGAGACTTTGGGCCGAAGTCGCACGGGAGGGAGTCTAAGTCTTCATCTGCCCCGCCTGTCCCCAGCTGCGCTAGTTGTAGTTGCATCACTCCATTTTCCCTAGGTAATTTCCACCATCTTCTAATCGGCTCTTTGCGACTGTAATTATTTTCTCTTCCGTCTTTCCATCGTCGCCGGCAAAACCCAGGGCTCCGGCAAAATCAGTTACCCTTTCAGGGAGGGCAGGGCGAAGCCCCGTGTACTTTAAAACCAAGTGCTCTAGTGTCTCAATATCAATATGGTAGGCAACACATAATGTGTCTGTTTCCTGAAATTTACCGCTCCGCGTTCAAGGACACCACCGCCATCGCGAAACGAGGAACCGCGAAATAGGAGCGTAAACCATGGGTTTAATTTATCCTAATTGTATCGAATGATAATGAAACTGACAAGGTGGAACATCCAAATCTTCATAAAAATAGGTTCTTATGTTTTGGTTTGTTGGAACTCAAAACAACCATGAGCTCCTTTCACCCGGAGAGTCGGTGGAGAGTCGGGGGACGGTTATACGAATGCACATCCACCTACAATCATGTGCCGACGTGTGCACCGTGTAATCTGCACACACGTACGATACTCTCCACAAAACAACAACGCAGAAATATAAGAACAAGCACAAAATTTCTATGGGCTACGTTTCTATCCACTCCAACACACCACTTTTGACAAAGTACGGTTACATCACGATAGAAGCAATACAATTTTCCGCGTGACTAAACATATACGGTGACTATCTATCGATAAGCCATTGCATACTAATCAGAAAGAAAAAAATCGATCGTGCTTTTGAGAAAATAACGTTAATTCGCTATCTCACAAAAATAGTAAGAAATACCCTACTTCATTTCATAAGTTGTATAACCTCCACTAAAGGTTCAGGCTTGACAGCACGGGCACTGCAAGGGCTTTGGTCGCTCAAATACCCCCGGAAATTAACGACGTTCTATCTTGGCGCACGCGCCCGTGATTACCGCAACACTATACTCATATTGAACACCTCAGATGGAGCGTAGATGGGGCGCCATGGTAAGACATACGAAATGGCTGCAAAACAAACAACGTGTGAAAGAAAACTCAGAAGCATTGATGATGTGGGCGGCAAATACAGCTTCGCAGCCCGCATAACCCAGGAAAAAAAAGAAACTGAATCAACGGGCTAGGGTCGCATGCGCAGCGCGTCATATCTTCAGTCGAACACGTTTTGTGCATGCGAAGAACCGTGTGCCCCAACCCCGTGCACAAAGATGGCAGAACGCAGAAGGCGGTTATTCGAATCGTCGTTACCATGACCGGAAAGCACCAAATCCACCAAAACTTCGAGTGAAAAACAAAATAAAAAAAAAAAAAGACGAACCGCAACGGTCAGCACCTTCAGAGTCCAGCTGCCGCAGCAAGGGAGCCTAGCGAGCACTGCAGCCGTCACCCGTAGCCCCACCATGGGCGTCATAGCTCCGCGTCCAAGGGCACCACCACCATCGCGAAAGAGGAAGCCGCCACAGCGCGGAAACGAGGAACCGCGACTACCGGTGCATGCGGCTCTGAGTCCGGCTGTGTGCGGTACACAAGGCAGGCACGCGGCGGGCAAGGAGGTGCCTGTCCCCGAGCGACGGAGCAGCGCGGCGCGCAGTGCTCCAGAGCGCGGCAGAGCCAAGCCGAGTAGGCACACGACTGCATGGGCGCCCCGCGGAGCGGCCCAGATGACAGGCGAAGCGGGACGGTGGGCTTACCCGAAGGATGCGGTTAAAGTCTTCCTTGTCCACGCGCAGAAAGTGGCAGTTGTCTTCGCGGGTCACAATCGTCGCCGATCTGTTGACAAGAAAACGAGGGAGGGGGATAAGCACGTTGCCCGAGGCGCGAGCAAGAGCGGTGACACGCATCTCGAGTCGGGTGTAGGATGTGTGCGTGTTATTTGGCGGAAGGATGGAGAGAATTGTCCCCAGCTAAAACTCCAAAGGATGAGGGGTCAGGATGAGGAAGGCTTCTGACGTGTGCCAGAACCGTTCCCTGCCTGCTAACGTCCTCTTTTTCGTTCCCAGATTACAGGAGGTGAAATGAATGGCAAAAAAAATCGCAAGGTATTCCGCTACATAAAATAATAGTAGCGCGCAATTCTATATATTTCGAGGCTTGAAAAAAAATTGAGAAACAGGCACCCGTCCTTATTCATTAGCGGTCGCGTTCGTTTTTGAAAAGAAGGTGGTGCGGCCAGATTGGGTTCCTATGAAAAAATTGCACGAAATAGCTCCGGGCAACACGACCGACATTTTGTGTGTACAGTGATTCATCGCTCGCAGCAACTTTCATCGGCGGAGTTGCTCCGACAGATTGTGTCAGTCGCTACTTCGTATGCTACGCGGAGAAATGCAAGATGCACGCACTTTAAATCCGTTGAGGGTACTTCAACGAAGCGCGTCGGTCATTTTTTTCCCTTCATCCTTCTAATGACCTTTTTTTTTTTTTCCACTCTTCCCACTCAATGTACCACAGAGCCAAGTAGAAGAGGTCTCCGAATCGGCGCCATGTGCACACAACTACAGGATGGATACTTTAGCGTCCAGCCAAAATCCTAGAGACACGAAGGTTCTTGGCACTAAGCCTCAGTCAAATTACGGGCATCACGACCGGGATTCATAACCGCCAACTGCACTCTAAAAAAAAAAATACGCGAATTTTTTTTTTTTTTTTTCAGAACTTGAGACAACGAATAATGCTGTAGACGAGAAAGGTCCACTCGAATGAAGGAAACTTATTTACAATCAGATCTGAAAAACAAAAACAAAAAATGCGACGTGCACAGCGCGAATGAGCAAGTGAAACATCTTGCTACCTGTCCCTCCGCAAATCATGTTTTTCTTTTTTTTTTTTTGCTTTAGTAGTGATATTTTGAGTTTGTTGTCTCGAATTCTGCTAGAAAGCGAACTCGTAGACCATTTTTTTAAGCCGAGGTCGCACTGCTTGCACATCAAACAAAAGACAGTATACCGACACTTGTTTCTTCCTTATACGACTGCCTCCTCTCATTGGTCACACAAAACCCGTCTGCAGACATGTTCAAATCATACACATGATGTCCGAAGATGATTCTGCCACCATATCTGCAGCGGTGCAATATACGGTTTTCAGGTGGAGACCTGTAGTTCGGCACTCTTTACTCGGAACTACAGGGCCTATTTACATAGAAGGAGATGTCTCTTACCGTGGAGCGTCGTTGACGAGCGCCAGCTTGCCGAAGTCGTCGCCTTCGTGTAGCGAGCACACAATCCCCTGGAGGCCAAAAAATAAAAAGAGCGACGTTGAGTGCTCCGATGACCGTACAAACGCGACGGTTGAGCAGCACCTCCGGTAGTAATTGGGTCACCCCGAGCGGAGGGACGTCACGTGATGGCCCTCGAGACAATTGTCAAGCGAACACGACAGGGCGTGACGCACTAGAACAAGGGAAGGTGCGACAGGACGGGACACTCGAAGACACAACAAGACCGCGCGAGACGTATTACTCATAGCGGTTGAGACTGCTCACGCGCCCGTGGACGCACTTCCCGGCTGCGTATATGGTAAGCTTGTGAAGCCAACAGGCCAATTTAGCCACTCTGGTCGGCGCGTTTTCATAAACGTAACACTACCTTACTTTGTTTTTTTTTTTTTTATGGGGGGGGGGGGGGGGTTGGGAGAGAGAGTTAGAGACATGAGGAGGAACCCCGAGGCTGAGGTAAATACGCCTCAGTGATTCACGGGTTAGCCTTCCGCCGGCTGCCAAATTTGCTTACCCGATAGCTATAAGAAATTCTGGGAGCCGGAATAAAGGCTAGCGCTTAATCACTGAGCCGAGTTTACCTAAACCTCGACACCCCCCCCCCCCCTTTTTTGCACCCCCCTCTCCTGCCGTAAGCCAGGCGACGTGACGTCCAGGAAAGCTCGGCAAACAGAGTGCCGAAATCGGTTCATTGACTTACTATACAAGTTTTTTTTTTCTTTTTTTTTTCCGGATACGCTTGTCGACAAGACCTGAACAGGGTCAATGATCATCATATGAGAGAAAGCCGAGCGAACGACCCCACCTGACTCATCAATTACGAAGAGAGATTCGCACCTATCGAGCAACACACTGCTTATAAAGAAACCAGCGTTTGCCCGCACCTGGAGTGGGCGCTGAGCGACCGCAGAAACCAGGTTCGCCCGAGGCATGTGCGCATGCGCAGTGCCGACAACAGTGCCACCACTGTGGCGTGACGTCAGAGAGTCGAGTTGGTCTATATGGTCATCGACAGCTTCAGAAACGCAAGCCGTGGTTCATTATGTTCAGGCTCCTCGCTTTGTGATTCGCCCTTCGGAGTTCTTATCGACTAGCACCGCAATAATGTTAGCTGTGCAGCAATAATGAAATGCGCGGGAACCGCCCTCCGTTTCTTAAGCTGTCGATGGCCACGCGGAGCGCAAATTCGTCTGCTTCTTTTGCAGGGGTTGTGGTGATGTCAGAACGCAGAGCTCTGATTGGCTTTGATTGAAGGATAGTGGGTAGACCTCAAAGCAAGCATGCCTTGAGGTCTACCCACTATCTTTCAATCAGGGCCAATCAGAGCCCGGCGTTCTGACGTCACCACAACCCCTGCAAAAGAAGCAGACGAACTTGTGCTCCGCATAGGAACTGACCACTGAGAAATGCTTTATTATTAGCTCCGTAAAACAACATTACGCGTGAAATCACGACAACGGCTTTCATGTCGTGTTTGGCTCCTGGTTGTACTTCTTTGGAAAAAATGTGCGACCCCATGGGGACGTACAGAGATAGTAGAATTATTTGCGACACGGCAAGCATCGTTGTCGGTAGGCATTCGATGGCCATAGTATGGTATGCTATGTGAAAAAACCGCGGAGTAAACGATCGTCAGCACCATAAAAAGGCAAGAATAAACAGCTTCTAGATCACCTTCGGGTTCACACTAACATCGCCGTCACTTCACCACGTCACGAAAAAAAAAAAGCACGGATCGGTTTTAATGCACACTTACAGCCGTGGCATCGGTGTCTATACTCCACGCGAAACGTGGACGGGTTTACCTAAGACTCTGGACTCATAGAGGACGGAAGAAACAGTCTCAAGACCACGAGCCTGGACTTGATTTAAGTGCTCGAAAGTCTGGCTCCGCAAAACCCTCCCTTCCTTCCATCCCTTCCCCCCCCCCCCCCTCCCCACCAAAAAAAAAAATCGTTTTTGATTGTTTAGTTTAAGGGCGCAACGTGATTCGCGGTGCCTTGGGTAAACGCTCTCAGTGACAGGTAATGAGGCGCAGGCCTAACATTGATGCACTAATCGTTACGTAGGGTCTTTTTTTTTTTTGTATATATATTTTCGTGGTGAAGAACAATACGCTATTGTCTACTCCAGGCTAAACAAAGCAGGGTGCGCGGTCAACATGACTGCCCTCCAATATTAGGACCTTGTGAACACCCCGAAGCGGTTTAAAGTGAGCGAAAGCGTTTCCATACCTTTAAAATCATAACTCTAAAATCTTATACATTATATCTTTAAAGTTAGAGAGTAGCCGGCGCCACTTTGACTAAATCAAACTTTCCTAGACATCGTTTAGAGTCACTCTCAACATAGCTACACGTTTCGTCATTTAGTAAAAAGAAGCCCAGAGCTTTTAAAACAATCTCGGTTATATCATTTTCTATTTCAGAAGCATTCGGACATTTCAAGTCTTTTGGTGAAACTGTTGGACTGGTAACTGAGTAAGGTGCAACTGCCGTTTCAGTCTTAGAGACACACATAAGTGTAGGGTACAATACTAAAGACATTGCCATCGTAGCCAACATTATAGAAAGTCAAATTTGAATGTGCCACAGCGTGTGCTTGCCTGCTACAATTCGAGTGGCCACTGCAGATCTTATCAATTTTCCATCGCAGGGTCATTTCCAAACAGGCAGTACAGCGACGCAAACATCAGCTCGAACAAATTCTCGCCGAACCAAAAACAAATTATTTATCAAAGCACGACATCGGACGATGTGACAGCTGCACACGGATTGCAGAAAGACCGCTTCGATGACGAGCTAACAAAATTGAAGAAAAACAGAATTGGTGTTCGGCTATATCCGGATCGGAAAGCTAGCCGAACTGAGGTACACAGCCGTTTCTTTAGAATGATTCTTAAATCGCAATTTTCTTGTTACAAAAAACACGTTTTTCTTCTTTTTTTTTTCTTTTTTTTTAGAATACGTTTTATCGGCGTTGCGAAGAAGCAAACCCTATTGCGCTACTGTACACTTCCGGATTTTGGTGCGGGTTCTAATGGAGCGAACGCCGCGAGACAGATTTAAAATGCCCGGCTGTCATCAACAGAAGCTCTCCGGAGACGCAGGAACGTACTCCTCTATGGACTTCCTTTGTGTCCCGACAAGTCGTTTTTCACTCGCGTTCATTGTAACGCGAATCTGAGCGCAAAAGGAGTGTGCGTTCCGACTGTCGTTCTTCCTATCTCCGCTGTGGCTGGCCGTTCCTAAGCAAGAAAGAAATGTACTACAGTGTGCAGCTAGTTCCCTGCGCAACGACACAGATCTGCTGTTGCGCCGTTGTTTTTCGCTCTGATGATGCACACCGAGCGAGCGTAGAGTCGTCGACAAAAGAAAAGAATATAAAAGTATCGTGCGTTTCGTACGCTTCGCGACACCTGACTCCAATAAGTGCCGAGAGCGCGCTCGTGTGAGTGCGATTTTGTGTCGGCGTGCGTGCCCGTGTTTTCAGAAACCCCATAAGACAAGCCGCACACATTTATACACGTATACAGATAGCTCGCCGTGTCACCACTAATTGACGTTATGAAACCAGACGCCCTATACGCCATCTCACAAATGCCTACAGGAACGTAAGCCTAGTCCAGTATAATGCTTTGTTTGTGAGAAAATTTGAGCATAAACGACCCTTTGTCAAAATCATGCGCTCGCGCCTGTTTCTTTCTTTTTTTTTTTGCCAGCATTGCGGATGTTTATGATATGATGTACGGCAGGGATTTGGCTCTTTTCGTATGCTTGTAAACCTACTTCAAACACTTTGCTCACTTTCTTCCATCCTCCCCGCTGCCCGTTTCGAATTGAATGAGCATTATACCGGCGTGCGGTCGTCATCATCATCGTGCCTTTATTTGGGCCTTTAAGCAACCCACGGTCTGCAATGCGGCGCAGTGCAAAACATTTATAAATCTAGAAAACGTGCTCACTTCTACATAATTAAAAATGGAAAACGAAAAAAAAAAATCTAGCATGCGACAAAACATGACAGTGCACAGCTAACGACGGAAAATAAAATCGTCCCATTTTTTTTTTGTAATTTACATAGCTCTCAATAACTATCAAAATGTTCATGCCCATACGCCCAGGACACTGGTCGATAACAAAACTTCCCGGCATTGACAACGATTCCCAAAGGTTCGGGCAAAGACACACGCGAAACCATTCAAATTGTAAGTTCAGAAATCAGTGCGCCCATTGGTGCTGACTAAATTCTCGCTGCCTAAACAAGCGTTTCAACACAATTACTCTTCTCACCTGAATTCTCGATGTGTACGATCCCCCACCAGTGCGTTTAAAGTAAATAAGGTACGGAGGTTTCGAGGTTTGTACACATGGAGGCAACTCACAATTTAAAGCTTCCGCTTTTGTGCGAGGCTCACAGCGAACGACGGAATAACGAGAATGGAAACTCTGCCACTGCTTCCTGTTTTGTGGAACTGGTTGTTTAACCCAAATGTCAGACCAGGAAGTTGAACACATAAAATGAAAGAATTCAATGAAACGGTAAACGCGAGCTAGGGCTTACCTCAGTATATAATTTCTCGCGCACCCATTGGGGTCTGACAAAATTCCTGCTGTATAAACATACACACGACACAACTACAATTAATTTCTAACTACATGGAGCGTAACGGCAGCCCCCAGTATAAACCGCGCATTCACGGAATTTAAAGTTGGATTCCGTTGTTTACTTCGTATTCTCGTGAGGAAAGGACGCGCGGGCAGCATAGCTCCGCTGCAGAATTCCCGCGAACGGATTAACGCACGATTGGAGGTCTCTGTCGCTAAGGGGATTAGGCTTAAGGAAAGCTTAGCCCGCATGCAACGACAAAGGGGGATTTATAAGGAAAACGTGACTTTGCAGTTGGACTCCCTTCCTTTTATCGTTCCAACTCTAGTGTCAATTTGGATGTCACGAAGAGCGTATACCAAGCGTTTCACGGAAATGCCCGTTAAAAAAAAAAAATCAAAAACAATTTCGTTTTGCACAAAAAAAAAGAAAAGAAAAAAAGTTGATGTCATCAATTGGCCCCTTCCAAGAGGTTTATTCGAGATGTGCATGTTTCGAGATGTGCATGTAGCCGTTCTGAATAAGTAATTCTTAGTAAAAAACGTCTTTGTATTCAGTAAAGATAAAGGCATATTTCCACCTATACACTTTCTAAGCGTCATCAGACGCCAATAAGTTACATTTATGCGTAAGGTATTGACGCGTCAGTTGGTAAGCATACACCCTAAAAAAGACCTAAAAAAAAAAAAAAAGCCCACTCTTGTGCTTGTTTGCAGAATATGTGTAGAGCCGAATATTCAACCCACGGAGCCCGCCCAACCACCCGGTATCAATCCCTCCTCAATAACCAACGCCTTCTTATCTGAGGTTAATCAGGGCAGAATAATGAACATCTTCACCATATCGTAGGTCGGGTAGACTTGCGGCCGGAAGCCTGTGCAGGGAAATCGATGCGCGGAAAACATCACGTCGTGTTGCCGAAACAGCCCCCGAAGACCTACAGGACACGCGATGGTGTATTCACTGATGGCATGAGAAATGAATTTCTTATTATATTACCGCTTTGTGATTTGTTCTTGGGAGTTTTCGTCGGTTAATGCCCCAATCTCATTGGCTGCGGACTGCCAATAAGATACTCGGTCACCACTCCCCGCGTTTGTCAGGCTCACCTTGCCGTAGATCACTACGTTGACCGATCCTCTCAGGATGATGTACCACGACTTCCCTTCGTCACCCTGGTTGAACACTGCAAGAGCAAAAGACACTCGCTTAGGTATGTATATTTGTTACTATTTGTTTCGCGGATGCAGTGATAATATTTGTATCTATGCATGGGTTGAACGTGACTTCATTCAAAGAGCGCTCCGATGACCACCAGAGAAGAAAGCAAGAAGGAGCTGCCCTCTTATCAGGACCTTTTTTTGCGCCTCCCGGATTTGCACAGGCGTCGCTATTCTTCTCCCAGAAGATTATAGAAGATTAACCCGTCAGTCACTTAAAAGTCTTGCAAAAGCAGCTTCCCTCTCCTCCTCTTACATGGTGGTCAAAAGTATGCGATGTGACGTCAATGCAACCCATGTATAGTTACGGCAAAAGTAAACGGAGCAAGGTGTGCATACATAAGACAACAAAATGACATTTTGTGATAAATTATGAGGCGATAAAGTATTCCATCGCTGCGATATGTGATACACATTACATGGACGACACAGGCCGTCAAGAGGAACTGAATTTGATAATACGGCGGCGTCACCAGCCGGCCCCAAAAGACGGCCAACACGAGATCACGTGACCGGCTTTCGGGAGTCCCGTTTCGTTGCTTTCCCCTAACGGTCTGCGCGTGCTGTTCAAGACCCGATAGCGAGGCCCGACATACGGGCAAACGGGTTAACCCAGTTCGAAGATGAAAATTGGGGCCCCGGAAGCGGTGGTGATCGGTCCGTCGAATGAAGTTTCCTCGACAGATCGTTTCGTCGAAACGGTGCTGTTTCATCGACGTTACAGTTTGTGGAAAGATTACATCAGACCATCATGCGGCGTTGCGTTGGCACCGTCGTTCGATGCACATCGTCTCCTCTGGCAGCGGTCATACTGCTAATACACCATACAAAAGATGGTTTTCAGAAACATACTGAGGCATTAATTATTTTCTTGTAGAGTGGTTCTCTCATATTGGTCATAAAAACGGAATACAGACATGTTCGAAGCACAGATATGAATGAGGTAAAGATATTCTTCGAGCATACTTCAGGCGCGTCCGCAGGTAAGTCTATCATCGTGCCTGCGGAAAACAACGTGCATTTTGTGCTACTGTGGAGACCGATCATAACGAAGTCAATAAGAATCGGAAATCACTTCGGTGTATCGGCTATTTCGTTATAACCGACTTCGGTTAACGAAGTGCAAAAGGGAAGGGAAATCGTGATCGCTTCGCTGTAGCCGCTTTTTCGTTATAACCAACTTTGCTATAACCGGTCTCGGCAGTACACTCTAAAAAAATGCCTGCGCGTCTACTTACCCACAAAACACTCGAAGAGCCAATCTCTGCAATCTACGAAATCAGCTCAGGGAATGATGAGGCGTAACATCTGTTTAGGCCTCAAAGTTTAGTCTGCGCTGTTGGTAAAGCACAACGCTTTGCAGTGCGTTCAAAACGTGCGAGTGGGGACGGGGTTGGCGAAGAAGCTCAGTCCTATAAGTGGAAGGCAATCTACCTGGTGTTAGGGTGTCTTTCTCCAGTTACATTCAGAATCAAACCAATCATTGTGGGGCGGGGGGGATGGGATGGGCAGGGAGGGGGGGGGGGGGGGGGGGAATCCACCACAATTGTCCACACGAACCACCTAACGCGCGTAGAGCACGAGGTCGAGCCTTCATGTGGGGTCATTAAGTCTGGGGCAACGGCTGCGGAAGTTGAGCGGAGAGGAAAGCACACTGGGACAGAACAGATTCATAGAGGGCCGGAACTGCGGGCCGGAACGACAAACCGAGTTATCCAAACTTCGGTCCGGCAGTTTCTTTTTCCTTTTTTTCGCATTACGTAATGAGGATCAATGCCACTCGCGATGCGCTGAAATGACGAGGGGCCGGATCCACAGAAGTCGAGATGGCATCCACGCAGGTGGATGCCTCTCTTGGTGGTAAACGCTGGGCCCGTCATGGATTAGGCGACGGCTGTATATAGACCGTTTTATCGTGGGTAGCGCCATTTTGAGAGCGAGAGAGAAAAGGGGAAAGGGCTACCGGCGCTTTCCCCCTTTCTGATTGTGTAAAAAGTGTAAAAGTCCCGGATGAGAGGCTTGGCCGGTGCTGGGTGTCTGCTGTGCCCCAACTTCTTTCGCGCTTTCTTTTCTGTTTTAGACTCGCAAACTTAATTAGAGCCATGGGCTTCGATGGCAACAGTCCCCCGGTCATCGGGACACCATTGCTCGGTCATAGGGTGCACGAATAACGACAGAAAGCGTCGAATACCGCCCAAGGACCTCGTAGCTTGCATGGAATTCGGCAAGGCACGTGCGGCTGCAATGTTTTGAAGCTCCACCGCTTTCCGCGTGACTGGAAATGACGAACCATTCATGAAGTTTTGCTTGCAATAGGCTCACTTCAACGCAGCCGTTTTTAGTAATGAACAAGCGATACACGAAACGGGAACCTCAATTAACTTTTGTAAACACCCGGAGCTGCTACATATCGTTTTGCTGCGCTGCTTTTATCTTGCGTGTCCGTGTTCTCATATTTCATTGTGGTTGAACGACGAAGACGTTCTAGATGTGCTTATATCGAACCGCAGAAAGCGACAAAGCAGCCACGAATTATTTTACTATTTGATGCAACATTTTGAGTACTAACCTCCAATTTCTATCACTGACACATTCGCTGCCGCTGTTCCCCCCGTTGCCGCACTGGCGGATGCCATGACTCGGACAAAGAAACGTACACACTGGGCTCGAAGACGCAGATCGCAACACACGAGTCGTACCCTGGAGCGACTCTCCAGCGCTTCAAAGCGCACAATCAGCGGAAACAACCCAAAAAACACACCAGCGGCACTCCAAGGAGCGCTTTTGCCGGCTCTATCGCACAGGGGATTGCTATTCAGGAAAACCGATAGAACTACCTTTTCAACAATTTCTAGCCTCACCCGGCGGCGGAAATAAGCCTTCAACTAAGTGTTGTAAATGAGGAAATCGAGTCAGTCACCACTGCAAATTATCAATATTAAGATAAATTCAGTTACAAAATTTTACAAGCTGAAACAGCAATTATCATGAGAAAACTGGCACGCACCTTGCGAGCGTACCCCATGTTCATCGGCGGTACAGCGTTCGGTGCGCGCTCCATTCACAAGCTGTTCCGAGCACAGTCGAGAAGATGGTGTTGAGGAAATGTCTTTTCGGTTTACGAACGCAACCCACTGCCGCCAAGACCGGGGTCATGTGGAAAGCGATAGAGCTTAAAGACATTGCAGCCGCTCTCGCCTTGCCGGATTCATTGCAAGCTACATAGGTCCTCGGACAGTATTCGACGCTTTCTATCGTTATTCGTGCACCCTATGACCGAGCAATGGTGTCCCGATGGCCGGGGAACTGTTGCCATCGAAGCCCGTTACTCTAATTAAGTTTGCGAGTTCAAAACAAAAAAGAAACGCGAACGAAGTTAGGGAACGGCAGACACCCAACACCGGCCAAGCCTCCTCATCCGGGACTTTCACTCTTTCTACACAATCAGAGAGGGGGAAAGCGCCGGTAGCCCTTTCCCCTTTTCTCTCTCGCCCTCTTTCAGTAAAACGGTCTATAGACCAACACGCGGCTCTGACGTCACACCTCTGCGGTGGCGCTGTTGTCGCCACGGCGCATGCGCAGAAGCTTCAACTCACGCGAATCTGGTTTCTGCACTGGCGCAGTGCCCACACTTGGTGCGGGCAAATGTGGGCTGTTTGTAAACAGCGCGTCGGTCTATAGGTCGTGACTCAACCCCAGATTCTAACGCGGTACGTCCGTCAGTCCCCCTTATACCGCAATGCCGATACACCACCAGGAGCCGACGTTGGATCGGTACGGGAGAGGATGGTAAACAGAAGGACTTAATTTTTGTTCAAGGACTCATTCATTTCTATCTTTTATAGCGAGCTTTCGCTAGAGTCCCTCTAGGACCTCGGTGCGCAGGTACTAGAATGTGAAACGTCTTGGTGAGTCTTAATTGCTTGTAATGTGATGTTGCTTATATAGACGTGATAACTGGTGCGTGCAGTACTTTAGACTTGCGTGAACAACTATAGTGATGCGCAGCAAACTGTGCTAAATACCGGATGCGGTGAAACAAAATGTTCAGGGAACGTTTCATTGTGAGAGGGAGCGAGCGTGATGATTCAGCCGTGCAAAGAAGGCCCTACCAAACAAGATCTCTACAGTCGGGCACGGATCGACAGTACGGCGCCAAAGAGCTTCTGAGAGTCGGAAGTAGATCGGCGCATCGGGAATCCAACGGAGAACACAGGGAAGGTGGAGAAGCAAAAGAACTGGAAAGGGACAGTTTATCGAAGGCGAGGACCAAGGGTCAATGTGACGAGAAGAGGAGACACCTGCCAGCCAGCACAGTAAGACGGACTGCCCATGCCCTGAACAGCCTCCACAACGACAACGGCATTTTTGAGCCTGTGCGCCAACGCCTGTTATGCAAATAAAGAAATATTCAAAAGCAGTTTGGTCTTTTTTACCCCTACTTCCTGGGCTCAGGGTAAACCCACAGTTTCGGGCGTCTGTTACATTATGCCCGCTTCCTTTAAATCTCGCGGATTTATGACTGCCCTATCGGCGTAATTCATCGAGCCGTCTGCACTCCTATACACTTCAAGAATAAGGCAGTCAGCTAAATAAAGCCAGTAATCAAATTCGATCAACCTAGCAAAACAAGAAATAAAAAAAAAATCTTGTCAAAGCAACGTCGAACGAGCGTGGGGTTCACGACGTCCTTTCTGAAGAAACGCCACAGCGTCGACAAAACGTGGGTCGGTGAAAGGTCGTCAACAAAGCGTGGGTCGATAAATTTATTCCGCATATACGTTCCGTGTCGGAACGCATATGCGGAATAAATGTGTCTCGGCGCGACGATACCGGCCCGTTCGCAGGAGTTACGAAGAATGCTTCACCGATAAGAACAAAAACCACAGAAAACGCCCAGAATCAGCGTTTGAGACGCCATAAAAGTGCACAGCCGCAAGCTGACGTCAAAAACACTAGTCCGCGA